TCCCGCGGCTCCGCCTCCAAGGGCGACGTGAGCGCCTGCATGGAGCAGGTGGTGCAGCTGGGGCGCGACGGCGAGAGCACGAAGCAGCAGAACAGAAAGGGCGACCAGGGCAGGCACCTCTACGTCGGCCCGAACGAGGAGAGCAACGGCGACGGCCAGCGCGCCTACGCATAGGAGGAGCAGGAGATGCTGGGGGCCGACGGCGAGAGCACGCAGCAGCTGCGCTCCAAGGGCGACCAGGGCAGGCACCTGCACGTCGACGGCATGGAGGTGAGCGACGGCGGGGACAAGATCGCCTACGCCACGGAGGAGCAGGGGCTGCTGGGGGCCCGACGGCGAGGGCAGCACGCAGCAGAATAACAAAGGGCGACCAGGGCAGACGCCTGCACATCAACGGGAAGGACTTGAGCATCGGCGACGCGCTGGCGGTGCAGGCGCGGCGGGGGGCCGCACAAACAACCCCCAGGCGGCGCGCGAAGGGGACGCGCGCTTGCGAGCAGGCCAGCTTGGAGGCGCGGCCGACGCTGCAGGAGTCCGCCCTCATGGTGCAGGATGCGGAGCTGCCCTGCGCCGTGGACCCCTCCAGCCGCGGCCTCGCCGTGCAGAAGGAGCCGACGGAGAAGGTGCAGCAGGCGGGCGCGCAGCGCAGGAGGAGGGCGGGCCCGGAGGAGGCCACCGTGAGCACCCGCGTCGAGCAGCGGGAGGCCCGGGACGGCGACTCCGACGGTCCGCGCTGGGAGACCGACGACCCAGCGGAGGACGAGGAGACTCGGGAGTCCAAGTGGGCACTCCGGCGGCTCGTGCGCAGGTGGTTGGAACGTCGGGGAACAAAGAGTGACATAAACATCAGAACTCGGAGGTCCGCGCGGATTTCTCGGATCGGCGCTGGACCCCCCTCCCTGGCGCGCTCCGCGCGCCAGGGGCGGCGCCGGAGGCGCCGCCAGGGGGTCCAGCGCGGATCCGAGAAATCCGCGCGGACCTCCGAGTTCTTATGTCTGTGTCATTGCTCGTTCCCCTATACAGTGAGCATTCCGGCGGCCCGTGAGCAGGTGGTGGGAACGAGCTCGAGCCAGACCCCAGCAGCAGCCACGAGCTGTCAGCCTGCCGGGCAGCTGGCCCAGGCGCCGAGGCGCTGGGCTCGCCGCGGGCACCTGGGGGACCCGCCGCCGCGGCCGAGCGGTGCGCGCCGGGCGCTGACGGGATGCCCCAGCCATCCTTTTGTAGAACTCCTCCTCCTCCTCCTCCTCCTCCCTCCTCCTCCTCCTCCTCCTCCTCCTCCTCCTTCCTCTCCTCCTCCTCCTCCTCCTCCTCTCCTCCTCCTCCTCCCCCCCCCCCCCCTCCTCCCCCCCACCTTCTCCTCCGCTCTTCCCCTGCCCCCCGCTGGCCATGGCTCCGCAAGCGCTCGCGCCGCCTTTTTCTCGAGGCGGGGGCTTCTCACGACGGCGCTTCCATCGGGTACCCCAGGAGCTCAAAATCCGCCGGCCCTGGCAGGCCCGAGCCGCCGAGAGGCAGGGGGAGGAGGGGTGAGAGGGGGAGGGGGAGGGGGAGGAGGGGGGAGGAGGAAGAGGAGGAGGACAAGGAGGAGAAGGAGGAGGAGGAGGAGGAGGAGGAGGAGGAGGAGAGGAGAGGAGGAGGAGGAGAGAGTAGGAGGAGGCGGAGGAGGAGGAGAAGTAGGAGGAGGAGGAGGAGGAGGCGGAGGAGGAGGAGGAGGAGGACGAGGAGGAGGAGGAGGAGGAGGAGGAGGACGACGAGGAGGCGGACGAGGAGGGGCGAAGAGGGGGCCGAGTGCAGCCAGTGATATCGATGTTCAGGTGCGCCAATGAGCCCGACCTGGGCGGGGCATTGGACCTCACGGGGATCCACCACAGTCGCTACCGGGCCAGGATGCTGCGAACAGTGCCTTCCGCCGAACCCCGAGGACAGCCCAGAAGAGGCTGAGGAGGGAGGGGGGCAAGAGGAGGGGGCAGAAGAAGGAAGAGGGCGATGATGGTGGCAGGGAGAGCGGCGGCAGCACGAGGTGAGCCGAGCACGCACCATCGGTTGCAGCACGGCCCGCCGTGCCAGAAGCCCGCTCCTCGCATAGGCCAGCGCAGGCAGTTGGCAACTCAGGGCGACGAGCGCCCAACCACAAGGTGAGGGGGGCCCCACAAGCCTGCCACAGGTCGATGGCCTGGGACTGCTGACATTGAAATAGAGAATCGAACTCTATACACCGACGCTTGTTCCGGCCCTGCATTGTAATTTGCGCTGGAGAGCGGATCCTGGTGTATACGGGACCCTGGTGTATACATTTCTCGTTGTTTCCCCGGGGCATCGGGGAAAAACGTCTACGCCACACCACCCCGGCGTCGTCCTCGACCCCCAAGGAGTCCTGGGATTGAAACGCAACCCGCCACCGCTGATGTATGTGTCCCAGTTTCTGATGACATGCGCGATGCCCCTGCTGCCCCTGCCAGATGCCGCATGTTCGGAAAGGCTGGTGAACAGTGCCCCGCTGCCAAGAAAGAACGCACAACTGCCCAGCAACGAAGCGACCCGATCTATTGCATCATGCAAGCCATAGCCCGCAGTTGCAGTCGGGGCGTTGACCTAAGGAACCCTAAATAAGGAACGAGGCCCCTTTTTCCCATAAGTTAAACTTCGATTTCCCATCGAAACCCTAAGCAACACCAAAGGCAAACTGCAAAACAACTAAGGAACACCGAGCCCCTCCCCAACGAAAAGGGTTCCTTCCTCAGAGCCCCGACTGTATGATCAACCGCGTCGTGTAATGGCACACGTTTGGAATAACACTGGTGGCGCCAATCTGAGACACCAACGGGGACTACGACCCGTCCGCCATCCGTGTAATTAGTGTTTTGCTCAGCGCCGGGACAGACAATCGCGAAACACCTCCCAACGACAACCAAACTACAACATAATCGCACATTCCGTGTCACAGTTGGGGACGATGAAACTTTCATATCAGGGCTTGGCAGGAACAATCATGCGAAAGCTGATATTCGGCTCACAGCTGGGAATCGCAGGCTTCAACATCGAAGGCTGCCAGGAGAGGTCTTAAGCGAACATGTTTTTGGAAAACGTCTCGAGCGAGATTGAGAGCGACCCGTCCTCCATCCGGTCAAATGTTACACATGTCAAGCTTCAGTGGCATGAGCAACGAGGTAAGTGGACCGATGGAAACGATGTGCATCCATCGGGCAGCTGGTGAAACTAACACCTAGGTTGTTGTCACCGCGCGCCCCGAACATGCAACCTCGATGTGCAAGCGACGTCGTGCAGTCCGTATGGTGCAACCTACGTGGTAATGTGGTTTGCGCACGGTGTAAGCACCCCTGCGTGTAGACAGTGTTGAACATCGGCCTAATTAATGGAGGATGACGATTAACAAATGACCGGGGGTCGTGTTCACGCGGCGGAGCCCGGGATGACGATTAGAAAAAACCGGCCGCGGGCTGGACAACTTTGTTTTTAATCGTTCTCCACCCAGTCAGAGAACTGTGCAGAAATAGCCGAAAACTATTTGTTTAATCGTTCTCTCCCATTTTTTATTGATCGTCATCCCGCAGATAGCCTGGAAGAGACACCCCCCCCGAAATGAGACCCCCCTCCCTTTATTACGAAATCTGGAGTAGACATTGTTGGACATCAGCCTACGTATGGCACCGCCCAGGGCACCAGGGCAGTCACGAGACCTCCCAGCAGCCACCAGGGGCACCACCAGAGGCTGCCGCTGGAGACCGACCCACGGGCACCGCCCATATAGGGCACCCGGGCGGCCGCCGGAACACCCCAGCAGCCAGGGCACCAGCGATAGGGCACCGCCTGTAGGACACCAGCTGGCCATCGCTCGGACGTCCATTCCCTGTGTTTTTTTCGGTTTCGTGCGTGGTTTTTTCGGCAAATGATCAAGGATGCTCCTCGATGGTCCTCGCCGAGGAACAAGCGCACACGTCCGAGCGATGCCAGGCCAGGGCGCTCGTATGAAATCTCAGCAGCAGCTTCCACTCCACTGGGAGCCAGGATGGCACTGCCCGTGGGGGTCGACCACTGGAAACCCCCGAAGACTACAGCCCCAACGGGGCAGGGAAACACTCTCGACAATTACATTAGAGAGTGACCGCAGCTCGACCTTGACGTGGGGGGGCAGGCGCAGGCGCAGGGCAGGCAGCTCGGCTTCTTGGGTTTCCCCAGCTTCTGGCTCTCGCCATCGCTCGGACGTCCATGCCCTGTGTTTTTTTTTTGTTTGTCGGTTTCGTGCGTGTTTTTTTTTTCGCCAGATGATCTCAAGGATGCTCCTCGATGGCCCTCGCCGAGGAAAAGACGCACACGTCCGAGCGATGCCAGGGGCTTGCGGGGTCAGGGCCAACGAGGCAACGTGGCCGGGCAGACCTTCGAGGCCTCTGTACCCCCCGCGTTGGGGTAGCGTTATATGCCTTGCGTTGGCCCCGCTGCGGCCGCCGGTTTGGAAGCAGGCAGCAGCCTCGGCATGACACTGCGCGCATACGGACAGGCGGTGCCTGCCAGTGCATGTTCCCCAAATCGATCGCTGGTGAGGGCGCGTGTCGACCTAAGTTGTGGTGATGCCACCATCCGATCCCTGCGAATGCTGCGGGGATGCCGTTGTTCATTCATTCATTCGTTCACACGTCGATATCATACTCATCTTGCCCGTGATTACGCTCCCTCTCCTCCTGCCCCATCATGCTCTTCTCCCCCAATCCGACTAGCATGCTCCTCCTCCTCCTCGTCCTCCTCCTTTTTCCTTGTCCTCCAACTTGGTTTTCTCGTCGGGTCTACGACAGATGTGTAGGGCGCTCGTGGATCTGCGGACGTTGTACGCATTTGTCGTGGACTCCACGGGGAAAGTCACTTCTGAGGTAATTCAAGTTTGAAGTCGATCCCCATACAAAAGCCCTAGTGATTAGTTAGCCCTCTTCCTCCTCATCCCTCGCTCTCCTTCGATCCGTCGGGCTCAAAGGCGACAGCCCTGCCGGATCATCCCTGTAGATTTGGTACACGAGCTCCTTTGCCCTGGGCGAGAAGTCTTCCCTCCTGCGGGCGCCAGGAGGGGACCCGTGGTGGGGAGGGACCGGCGGGGCCAAGGTGGGAGGGAGGGGGAGGAGAAACCGAGAGACTGGAGGGGGAGGAAAGAGGGAGCACAGGGGCCCAAAGGCATACACCACCACCAACTCCTTCGTCCCATCCCTCTCCCAGGAGAGGGGAGGGGACGCGGAGGGTGGCGGAGGGAGGGGAAGTGGAGGTGGTGGCGTTGTGTATTCTTGGGGCTCGAAGGGAGGCTGCTGACCATGCGGTCCGGAAAGTGTGCATAACGCGTCGCCGCGGCGGCCCCGGCGACACGCTGTGCCCTGCGAGCGGATGGCGTGCCGCTCCGCTCCGCGGGGCTGGAGGCAAGGAAAAACTCGAGATGTCGACGCCTGGGGACCGGGAAGCGGATAGCGTGTCGCGCCGCAGCGTGGTGGGCCAGAATCGGCGGAGCGACACGCGCCCCCAGGCCGGAGCGAGCTCGGGCAGCGGGCCAGGGCCAGGGATCACGCCACAGGTGGGCTGGCTGAGCTCCTGAGAGTCGTGGTGCACTGCAGCGAGGGCATGCTCTTCTTGGCCGTCAGCCGGTACGGATAGCCCCGCTTCTCCATCAGCGAGTTGAAGTCCTCGCCGAAGTGCCAAGTTTGGCATTCGACCATCGAGGATCCAGGAGAAAGAGGAGGACCGAGGAGAAGGAGAAGGATGAGGACGACGAGGACGAGCAGGAGGGCGAGGAGGAGGAGGAGGAGAAGGAAGAGGAGGGGGAAGGGGAGGAGGAGGAGGAGGAGGAGAGGAGGAGAGGAGGAGGAGAGGAGGGAGGAGGGAGAGGAGGAGGAGGAGGAGGAGGGTGGGCATAATCAGAAGGTTTTGTCCCTAGACGGGCCTCCGGAGGCCTCAGGAGCCCTACGGAGTCCTCCAGGGACCCCCGGGGGGCAGGATCTTGCTGGGGCACCAACGGCCGACGACTCGCAACCAGGGCACGGACTGCGCGTGCCCGTGTCGGGCACTCCTGCACCCACCCCCGCCTCCTACTTCTTCGTCCGCCTCCGCCATTCCATCCCGTCCTCCATCTTCTCAGCCGCTTCACTCTCTCCCTCCCCGTTCCCGTCCTCGTTCCTCGCCGTCATCGTCCTCCTCCTCCTCCTCCTCCTCGTCCTCCTCCTCCTCACCCTCCAGCCCTTTCTCTCGCTTCTCCTCCTCCTCCTCCTCCTCCTCCTCCTCCTCCTCCTTCTCCTCATCCACATTCTCGCAGCCGTGCGTCGTGAAGCCAGAAGGAACCATCGTTCCGTAAACCACCCAATTGGTAACGCAGCCGCCGAAGGGTCGCAGCAAGTGAAAAGAAATCCTCTGATCCTCCTGCTCCTCTCTCCTTCTCTTACTCCTCCTCCTCTTCCTCCTCCTCCTCCTCATACATACCCGTTCCCATCGTCCTCTCCTTTTTCCCTGTCTGAGAGGAATAAGGGGGAGGGACTACGCGGCTCAGTGCAATTCCATGCCCGCGCCAGAGAGCATCTTTTCAAAAGCCCGCTGCGATTCCGCATGGAGCTTCTCGAACCTGGAAGCCGCCTCTGCTTTGTCCGCCTCCCCCCCCCCACCCACCCCGAGGACAGGGGAAAGACCGTTTGAGCGAGGAGAGGGGAGGGAGAGGAGGATCGGGAGGGAAGCAAGGGAGGGATGGGGGTAGCGAAGGAGGGGGGAGAGAATGGAGGAGAGAGGATGGAGGGACGAGAGAGGAAGGCGGGGTGCTCCCCTCCTCTCTCTCTCCTGCGCACGCCTCCGTGCTTGGTCAAAAGGTCCAAAAGGTCCTCCTCCTCCTCCTCCTCCTCTTCCTCCTCCTCCCTCCTCCTCCTCCTCCTCCTCCTCCTCCTCCTCCCTCCTCCTCCCTCCTCCTCCTCCTCCTCTCCTCCCTCCTCCTCCTCCTCCTCCTCCTCCTCCTCCTCCGCCTCCTCCTCCGCCTCCTCCTCCTCCTCTCATCCTCCCCCAGCCTCCTCCTCCGCCTCCTCCCTCCTCCTCCTCCTCCCTCCTCCTCCTCCTTCGCCTCCTCCTCCTCCTCCTCTTCACCACCTCCTCTCCTCCTCCTCCTCCTCCTTTTCCTCCTATTCTTCCTCTTCCTCCTCCTCTTCCGGTCACACCAAAACGGCGATAAGGAATCTGGGCGCCAAGGCGGCAGCGTGGTGCCTGCCTCTGGGCGGCACCGCCCAGGAGGAGGGCTCCGAGAAAGCTCTTGATGCGTGCGTGAAGCAACTGGGAGGGGATGGGGGGCTGGGCGAGAGAATGAGGCGGAGCAGCTCCTCCTGCTGCTTATGCCTCCTCCTCCTCCTCCTCCTCCTCCTGTTCCGCCTCCCCCTCCCCCTTCCCCCTCGCCCTCCTCCTCCTCCTCCTCCTCCTCCTCCTCCTCCTCCTCCTCCTCCCCCTCCTCCTCCTCCCCCTCCTCCTCCTACCCGCAACTGGGAGGAGGGCTGGTAGGGCTGGGGCAGGGAGCGTGCGCGGGAGGGAGAGAGACCCCCCTGCGCGCGGCCCGATCTCACCAACCAGATCTTGCAGGCGCGCCCCCCGCCTCCGCACCGCCGCGCGTTTGTAGCCAAAAAACCCGTTTCAGGATGGGTGCCAGTCCTTCTACCCGCAACTCCTCCTCCCCGCAACTCCTCCTCCACCACCTCCTCCTCTTCCTCCTCCTCCTCCTCCTCCTCCTCCTGTACTCCTCCTCTGCCTTCGCATCCACCTCCTGTTCTTTGTTATGTTGTTTTCTTCTTCTCCCCCTCAAGCGCATCACCCACTTCATCTTCCGGATTCCCCATCCTCCTGTTCTTCACGCTTTCTTCCGAGAGGGGAACAGCTCCAAAAGAGTCAACAAGGCTACCCTGGAGCTCCATGGCACCAACCAAAAACGATGCCTCTCTGGGGACACATTTCCACGCCACGGATGTCCAATACCGTACGTAAATGACAATGCGTTTGCTGAACATGTCGCCCTCGTTCCATCATATTGAAATTGAGATGTTGCTGCCTCGTGGAAAGTCCACATTCCGTGCTTTCCTCCAGGCGCCCTTGACGACGTCCACGGCGTGTTTGCAACGATGGTCTGCCACTGCGATCTCGTCTCGGCTAAAGCAGCGCGCAGGGTCACGCGAGTCTTCCAGCGGCAGACTGCCAGAACAGCTAATTTCGAATAGAATATCCACGTTGCATTAGATGGTGACCTCAACACTCCCTAGCCATAATGTTTCCATCCTCCTGCTTCTCGCTGTTGCACCTCCTCCTCCTCCTCCTCCTCCTCCTCCTCCTCCACCTCCCCCAGTCTCATCATCCGTCCATCTTCCCTCCTTCATTCCCAAGGGCTCCCAACTTCGCGCTTCGCGCTCCGCGAAGCGCGAATCACTTCGCGCTCTCGCGCCGCCCCCCCCAGAGGGAGAAGAGGAGGATGAGGAGGAATCGGAGCCGAACAGCGAAGCGCGAAGCGCTTCGCGCCCTCGAGGGCGCCCTTGCATTCCCTCCCTTCTTCCCTCCTCCTCCACAGACGGCATCGCACGCTACCGACGGACGGCTGTTTGGCAGGGGAGGGGGCCGCTCGGACCCGCAAGGCCACCCGCGGCAACGCCGGCGCGCCGCGTGCCTGTGGGCACCGGGCGAACGGGCCCGACGGACCGACGACACGTCCGCGCGTGGCTCGGCCAGGGAGGAGGACGACAGGGAAGCGAACCCTATACACCGACTTTGGACGCCCGAGTTATCCGGGGTAACTCGGGTCCGGGGTAACTCGGGCTTGGATTCCCGAAAAAGGAACCCGAGTTAGCCCTGACCCGAGTTACCCCTGATGATGTAGGGCTCTGGACGCCCGAACTATCCGGGGTAACTCGGGTCCGGGGTAACTCGGGTTCGGATTCCCGAACAACGAACCCGAGTTAGCCCTGACCCGAGTTACCCCTGATGATTCGGGGCTCTGACGACACGTTTCCCGACCCTGCGCTGAAATTCTCACAGGAACACGGATTCTGGTGTAGACGGGATCTTGGTGTATACAGTGTTCGTTCTTTCCCAACGGGAAAAAAGTAATACACCTCACCACCCCGACGTCGTCCCCGACCCTCAAAAAAAGTCCTGGGATCGAAGCAAAACCCGGCAACACCTCCAGATTCGAAAGCTGGGCGAGGGCTGCCAAAAACGTGGCTGCTAAAACGGCCCTCCTCCCGGAAGGAAACCATGAGAAAACACTTCCCGGGAGGAGGCGCGGCACGCGAAGCAGACAACGGGCTTCTTTGAAGGGAAACTGGGACACACAAATAAATACACTCAAATAAAAGGATTCCCCATATTTTCTCATATTTTCTGGGTTTTTGTCTTCCCCCCCACTTCCCATATTTTCCCATATTTTCCTGAGGATCGACGATTAATTGTGTCTGTGTGTTTTTCCCCCTCCTGATTCTTCCCGGAAGGGCGAAGACAACTTCCCGGAGGTCGATTTTAGCAGCCGCGGATTTGGCAGCCCCTGCCCGGCTTCCGGCAGGTGCGGGAGGCGTGGGAACTCTCCGAGAGCCGGCAGGTCTGTGGGGATGCACCGGGGGCCGCGGCCGCTCCACAGAGCACGCTGGCCACTCGCTGCTCATCCTGGGCCTGCCTGAAAGATTTGTTTCTCTCCAGGCAGGCTCCACGGGGTCTGCGGGGCCAGCGGCGAGCGAATCTGTAGACCTGGGCAAAGCCGCTGCTGCGATGAAGTGGAAGCCTTGAAATGGTGTCCTGATGATGTTCTTGCAGCTCTTCACGTCTCTAAGTACCTCGCTCTTCACTGGGTCCCAGCCTGAGCGTCGGGCAGAACACTGGGCTGTCAACGCCACCCGGTCACGCGATCAGATCGCGCCTCCGATCAGACTGCCGATCGCCGCGCTCGACACAAGGAACGCGGGGCCGATCACAAGCCGACCACTGTGACGACGATGCTCGGGTGATCTCTGACCTACAGTCGTACGAACCGAGGACGCTTGGCCCCCAACCGTAGACGTATGCGGCTTGAGGAAGCATGTGGCAGTCTCGCGAGTAGGGCCCCGGTTTGCTGCCGTTGAGCCCCAGGTACTTAGTAGGAGTCGGTGAGTCGGTGCAAAAGCGAACAATCAACAACGTCGACCCCTCACACCCCGTTCTCCTGCTGCAGCTCCGCTCGTGGCAAGTGTGACGATCCTGGGCGTATCGGGTTGCCTGTGCTGTTCTGCTCTGCTTCCGCAGTGCCAAATGGGCCCGTCGGCGAGGCACACTTTTGTCCTCCTCCCCAGGAGACGGTGAAATACACAACCACACGCGCAACCTTTCGGGCGCAGCGGCCACGCGCGCAGCGACGCGGCGGAGTCGGGCAGAGAAGTCGTGGAGCTGCCTAGCGGGGCCGCATCATTAGGGTTCATCCATAGGCAACCCCGCTGCGGGAGTCTCATTGGTGGAGCAGTCGAGAGAGGAAATGAAAGGAGGCGCGACCAACGAAGGGGGCGAGCAGGGAGGGAGGCAGCGGAGGGGTCGGCAAATACGGCGCAGCGAGACGGAAGCGCAGGGAGACAGCGCAGGGACACACACACACACAAACACAATGTACACACACACGCGCGAAACACACTTTCCTCCAACACCACGATATCGTCGTCCTCGCATGGAGACAAACTGCTTGACACAAAGTAGAAGTACCAAGCCGTGACGCTGCGTTCGCAACGGCGGACACCGCCGTAAAAATCCAGGTGAAGGGCAGACACGGCTGCCCGATGCAAGGAATACTTGGAGCGGAAAAAAAGTGTAGCTAGCGCGGGACCCGACAATCATGTTTTTGTCACTCTCATTGTGTCCTCGATGAGGTGCAGTCTGCGCGGTGCAATCTGAAACAGTGGCCACGAGGCGGCAGTGGCCACGAGGCGGCCACAGGCGGTAAGCCCAGCAGCGCTGAGCCGCGCAAGACGCGGCCGCGCGGCGGCCGCGGGACGGTCACGGGGAGTCCCCCGCCGAAAACCAGGTAAGAGACCGTAGATGCAAGCAAGGTGGGGGGGGCGAGGAGAGCCGCACAGCCGACAGGCGACGGAAAGGCGGACGCGGCAGACACGAACCAGGTGCCTCCTCGCCCCGCGATCTGCTTGCTCCCGAGCGCGGCGGCCGACTGCAGCGCACGCGAACGACAGCGCGCGGCAGAGCTCCTGCCGCCGGCGCCCGTCGCCTCCTCCTGCCCGCACTGCGTCTGCCGACCTCGTGCGGGGCTGCTGCCTCCGACTGCCCGCCTGGGCTGCGGGCGCCCCGTGGGCGGCAGCTCCGCCTCCGCCCGGGCCCCAGGCCCCCGGGCGAGTCGGGGTCCGCAGCCGAGGGTGGGATCGGTCCGACCGAGGCCACGCGAAGCACACTCTCCTCCTCCTCCTCCTCCTCCTCCTCCTCCTCCTCCTCCTCCTCCTCCCTCCTCCTCCTCCTCCTCCTCCTCCTCCTCCTCCTCCTCCTCCTCCTCCTCCTCCTCCTCCTCCTCCTCCTCCTCCTCCTCCTCCTCCTCCTCTCCTCTCCTCCTCCCTCCTCCTCCCTCCTCCTCCCTCCTCCTCCCTCCTCCTCCTCCTCCTCCCCTCCTCCTCCTCCTCCTCCTCCTCCTCCCTCCTCCTCCCTCCTCCTCCTCCTCCTCCTCCTCCTCCTCCTCCTCCTCCCTCCTCCTCCTCCTCCTCCTCCTCCTCCTCCTCCTCCTCCTCCTCCTCCTCCTCCTCCTCCTCCTCCTCCTCCTCCTCCTCCTCCTCCTTCCTCCTCCTCCTCCTCCCTCCTCCTCCCCGTCCTCCTCCTCCTCCTCCTCCTCCTCCTCCTCCTCCACCTCCTCCTCCTTCTCCCCCTCCTCCTCGCTTTCCTCCGACGCCGCAGACAGGCGTGAATTCCAGCCAGGGCACTGCGAGTGGGTGGCTGCGCTCGGCGGGGGAGCGTGCAGGACAACGCCCAGCCTGGAGGCGGGCGGTGAAGCCCACGCGTGCGGGCTGCACGCGCGCAGGGATGCTTAGACCCTCAAGGAGGGCCGAGATAGGAGCGGAACAGAAAACGGACCACTCAATTTGTCCTCCACAGGCGACATGACGACACCGACGCGAGCGCTAAGCCCAGACACGCTCACGCGACTTCTCACAAGTGAGGGGTCTAGATGGGGGCCGGCGCCTTCAGAAAAACGCGAGAACGCGCATGCACGTGGCAAGCGCCAAAGAGGCCACGCAAACGAAGGATGCAAGGCGCGGGTGAGGCGCGCACACACGTTACGACCCGCAGCCCTGGCGCAGGGGGCGCGACGCGGAAGCACGGGCCATACAGAGGAAAGCCTGGCAGAGCAGCCAACCCAGACATCCGACGTCTCGATTTTTTCGAGACGCGGGCCCCCGACCTCCCGACCACTTCCCTGGGACCGGTTTTTCATCCCGAGTCGTTTTTTGACGGTCCCGACGCCCGGCGAGGGCCCCGAGAGGCTAAAAACTATGAAGAACCTTTGTCTCGATTTTTTCGAGACGCCCGATGTCTGGGAACGCAGTAGTGGCGCGATGCGGAAGCTGGCGGCGCAGCAGCGGGCGCCGTCGCCGCCCAGTGGCGGCGAAGGCCGGGGAACCGTGCCCCGCCCGGGGCGAGCGCTGCGGGGCAGCTCGAAGAGGGCAGGGCGCCCCGCACCGAGAGTCCCGACCCGAGAGGCTCGAGGCCCGAGGCAGGAGCACCGAGGCCAGGCAAATGGGGCGTCGGCGCCCATGCTGAGGCGGGCAGTACTTATATCCATATCCAGAGCGTCGTGGACTTTTGGGGAAGAGGTGCCGCAACGCCGAGGCGCACTGGATATGGATACAATTCCAGCCTCTCGGGGCCAGATGTTTATCCATATCCAGTGCGTCTACGGCTTCTGGGGAAGAGAGCCCAAGAATCCAAGACGCACTGGATGTGGATATAACTGTTGCCCGCAGCTGAGGCAGCAGCGAACCAGACCCGCCCGCATCGAGGGACCTCTCGTCCCCCGGCAGGCCTCACTGGCGGGCGTGGCGCTCGGGGCGCGGCCGGAGGAGAGCCGGCGCCGACCCCGGCAGCTGCGCAAGCTACAGACGAGGCGCAAGCGCGGGCCGCACCACAAAAGGGGGCCTCGGCAGACCACGGAAAACGGTGAGTTAAAACAGGGCTGGGATCGGGATAAATCGCTCCAGAGCGTTCTGGAGCGCTCTCAGAGCGTTCCGGAAGGCTCTGGAGCTCCGGAACGCTCTGGAGCGGCCGCGGCGCCCAATACATCCTCCAAACCCGCCGATTCTCATAGATTTCGAGTTATCCCGATCCGATTTTGTCCCGATCTTCGCGTCGTTTTATGAGTGCCGGGCGGCCCACCACAATGGTTTTGCCGCCCCTCAGGCCGGGTTAGGCGTAATTACGAGAGGCGCCGGCGCGGGCCGGCCATGCCGAGGGGGAAGCGCGAGCCTGGCCACGGAGGCGCTGAACTAAAAAATGATGGGGGGGAAGTTGGGGGTCCCAGGATCGTGCGGTGACAGGCCGCGCGGCGACCTCGAATCTCCAAAGACCTCACCGCGCGGTCCATCACCGCGTGGTCTTGGGACCCTGGAGGCCCTAGTCGCCGGGAGGTCCTCGGAGAACGACCCGAATCCCAAAACCGTGGGGTGACCCCGAATCTCTACTGACTCACCACACGGTGTGGTCACCACGCCGTTTGGGGGACCCCGAACGTGCGCGGGGACTGCAAGCGATCCCGACCACACCGAAGACACAACCTGGGGGATGTCCTGCGCATGCCAACACTTGTCAGAACACCGATGCCAGCTTGGTACGTGTTGTGGTCGATGTAGGCGCCCCACGGCCAAATCGACCACAACCACAGCAACCAAAGTGTCCATGTCGAGGTCGGTGGGCTCTCCCCCGAGGGGCCTGCCGGAAAAAAGCTGCGGTTGTGGTTCATCGTTTCCCCCCGAGGCGAAGCGCAGCTGCTGGAACGCACCCCGAGGCTGGAAGACCGCCGAGGACCACCGAAAACACAAAAACATTCGAACCTCGAATCTGTCGTCCCTCCTCGAGCCGATCCCCCCTTGAGCCGGAGCCCTCGGGAGGAAGACGGAGCCCCCCCATCCCAGCCCCCGCCAGCAGGCCCGCCGGGGCGCGCAAGCCAGCCAGAGCTCTTGAGCCCAACGGCTTGAGCCAAGGCTTGAGCTTGAGCCAGAGCTCCGGACACACACACACACACACACACACACACACACGCACACACACACAAACAAATACACAGACAGCACACACACACACTTTTCCTCTGAGCGTGCCAATCTGCACGGCGGGAGGTGGCAATCAAACCAGCCCCGGCCTGGAGAATGCAGACGTCAGGACGCAAGGGTCCGGCCGAATCCTGCCGGCGGCGGAGGTGGGTGGAGCGCGGAGGGGGCAATAGAGAGAGAGAGAGAAGGATCGACGGGCCGCGGCTCCCCCCCGGTTGCTCGCTGTTGCCCCCTGGTGGTGACGCGGCACACACACACACACACTCTCACACACGCACACACGACTTCGGGCGGAAGCGGCCTCGCGCGCGGAGACGAGGCGGAGTGAGTAGAAACACCAAACGCGGTGTCGCGGCTGGGCCCTCAAGAATCGCTCTGGATTCCACACGTACACACACTCACTCACTCACTCACTCACTCACTCACTCTCTCTCTCTCTCTCTCTCTCTCCCGCACACACACACACGCAAACGACGGTGTGCAGCTGCCTATGATCAGGCTGACGACGAGGAGGCGAACGAAGAGGAGACGGGTCGGCCGAGGGCACAGGTGCCCTGGTCGAGGAATCTTCGTTCCGACGACAGATGTACTGACCGTGTGCATGTTCACAGGACGCCCCAAATGTTACACCATCTCGCTGGGGCCATAGCAAGTGCCGTCGTGTGGCCTGTTGGGCGCGGCCACCTGGTGCCCTTGGCCCTGACCATGGCAAGGAGAAAGAGAGAGAGAGAGAGAGAGAGAACAAACAAAGCGAAAGATAAATAGAGAGAGAGACAGACAGACAAATATGAAGAGAGGGAGGGACTAATTAGGGCGCAAACAATCCTACCTCGCTTTTGACTACCCTCGCTTCCAAGAGATACCCAGCGACGCCACACAACGGCCTGCGCTGGTCAGGCCGCTTGACGAGGAGGCGCGTGGTATGACTTGGTTTTGCCTGGAAGCGAGAGCGGGGTAGGTAATTCACGCTCTGACTAATAGAGAAACAGACAGAAAGAGAGAACCCACGAGACAATACATAACACACATCTGTATACATGTCTACGTGGAGAAGGAGAGACGGAAATAGAGACAGGGAGAAACCGGGGGAGACGGGCGATAACCACGCGATACCGCAGGCGCACGACGGACCGCGCCCTCCCGGTAAGCAGCTCACCGTCGGCCCCCCCGTCCTCGCCGCCTCCCCTCCCCTCTCGGCCCCCCTCCTCCCCCCGCCCGCCCGCCCATTGCTTTACCCTCCCGCCTCCCCCGCTCCCACCGGACTCGGCGGCGAGCCCGGGGGGGGGGGGGGAAGAAGGGAGAGAGAGCGGGCCCTCTCAAGACGGCGGCGGGGGCCTCCTCGAAGCTCTCCCCCGCGCCCTCGGGGGGGGGGAAGGCTTCGACAGCTGCGCTCCGAAGGCCCCGGGCGGCGCGCGAGGCTGGTGAGAGCCCTCTCGCGCCTCGCCCTCGGGCGCGCGCGCCGCCCGACAGATGACGGGGAAGCTCGGCCGCCGAGCCCGGCCGTGCCCCGCCGCCTCTGGGCCCGCGGCCTTGCTCAGCCACTCGACCATGCGGATGTTCATCCTGCCGCGCGGCGCCGCCAGGAGGCACGCGGGGGGCGAGAGCAGGAGGCGCGCGAAGCAGGAGGGGAGGGCAGCGGGGGCGAGAGCAGGAGGCGCGCGAAGCAGGAGGGAAGGCACGCGGGGGCGAGAGCAGGAGGCGCGCGAAGCAGGAGGGAAGGGCAGCGGGGGCGAGAGCAGGAGGCGCGCGAAGCAGGAGGGAAGGCACGCGGGGGCGAGAGAGGAGGCGCGCGAAGCAGGAGGGAGAAGGAGAGGGGAGGGGGGAGGGGAGATGGGGCGGGAGAAGGAGCCGCCACGAGGAGGACGAGCGGAACGAAGAAAAAAAAACTGTGGCGACGAAGGGGGTGTGACGGAGGGTGCACCGCAGAAGCTGGGAAATCCCAGATACCACTACATACACCTCCGCTTTCCGTCTTGTCCAACCTCGTTCTACAGTTGAAACGGCCCCAAGACGGGTCAAGAGGACCCCAAGAGGCCCCAAGGATGATTCAGGAGGGCTTCGAATCGCCGAGCGATGAGTCCAGGACGCCCAAGACGGCTCCCAGACGGCCTAAGAGGCCGCCAAGGCATCCCAAGAGAGCTCCAAGAGACGTCCCAAAAGTGCCCCAAGAGGCCACAATCGCACAGTCTCCTGTTTCATATTACTATTTGTTTGAACTGGGCCTATCTGGCGGTCCGGCGGCTCCGTGGTGCCTTCCCCCTTCGGTCCGCTCGCGTCTTGGCGCCCTCTTGGGCCGTTTGGGGGCCCTCTTGGGAACCTCTTGGGCCGTCTTGGGGCGGTCTAGGGGGCCTCTTGGGCCGTCGTCAACGCCGTGAAAGCCGAAAACCCGTGTATGCTAAAAATGTACGTTTTCCCATCGAAAATCTATGCTTTTGGCCTCCTGATGGCCTCGTGGGACGCCTCTTGGGGGCCTCTTGGGGCTTCTTGGGGGGGCTGTGGGGGCCTCCCGGGAGCGTCTTGGGGCGATAGGCTCGACTTTTCGGTTCGTGGTCCCCCTCTTGGGGCCGTCTTGGGGCCCTCTTGGGCCGTCTGGGGCGCCTCTTGGGCCGTCTGGGGGCCCTCTTGGGCCGTTTTGGGGGCCTCTTGGGACCCTCTTGGGCCGTCTTGGGGCGGTCTTGGGGGCCTCTTGGGCCGTCGTCAACGCCGTGAAAGCCGACAAAGCGCAGATGCTAAACATATACGCTTTCCTCTGGGAAATCGATGATTTCGGCCTCTTGGGGCCCTCTTGGGACGCCCCTTGGGCGCCTCTTGGGGGCCTTGGGGGCCTCTTGGGCCGTCTTGGGCGGTCTTGGGCTTTCTTGGAGCGCTCTTGGGCAGTCTTAGGGGGGAACCCGAAAAACATGCAAAAACCCGGGGGGAAACCCGAAAACGGCCATTAACACCCACATGCGCACGCTACCCCCCTCCACTGGAACCCCTCCCTTTAGGGCTTCGCCCACACCAGAACGTCATCACTGGTACCTCGCTCTTTCCGTTATCCCTCCTGGATGGCACACTACGCGCGCTACGCGGATTGTCACGGATATCCACTGTCACGAATTGCATGCTACGCGCGCTCTCCGCAATGCATCAAAAGACACGTGAGGAATAACACCTCGAATACTCACATCGCACCCACCTCTCCCATTGATTCCCCCAGCTGCGCCGGAGCGCGTTTCACGCGCGCTTGGGTGAGAAACGCTCCCTACATGTCGAAAGCAGCCCCCGCTCCCCCAACATCCCAGGTGTGTTCTCCCCCTGTCGGCGGCGAGCCAGGGGAAGGAAGGCCTTCTCAGAATCAGAAGGCGGCGGGGCTTCTCAGAAGTCCTGGCGCCTTCTGAGAAGTTGTCCCTGTCTTCGGGGGAAGGCCTGGGGAAGCCCGGGGACTCCCGAGCCTCCCGAGAAGGCCTCCTCCTCCTCCTCCTCGCTTCCCCCCCGGCTCGCCGCCGGCCTCGACAACTGCTCGGGAGGCCCGGGGACTCCCGAGCCTCCTGAGAAGGCCTCCTCCTCCTCGCTTCCCCCCCCGGCTCGCCGCCGACCCCTGCCCCTGCCATTGGGGCGCTCTGCACGCGGCATATTTTTGGTCTCCTCGGCGGCGCGGCGGAGCTCGGCTCTCCTCGGGCCGAGGTGCGCCGCCCTGCGAGCCACGGCCTGGCCGTCCGAGGCAGGGGCGGACCCTCAGAGGCCCAGGTCGCCCCCCCAAAAAGCAGGCGGCGCCATCGTGTGCGACGGGAGCGCCTGCGTCGCGGTGGGGAGTCTCCAACCTGCCTCCGCGTCAAGAGCCTGGGGGGAAGGGCAACTGGTGGAGGGGCAGGGGGGGAAGCAGGGAGAGACGTAACGCTGCCGCCTCGTCGCCAGAGCCCGGCCAACGCAAGAAACGATGCGCCAGTCAGCATCGTCGACACAGCTGGCTCGCGCAACATCCTATGAGGGGTGGCCCGCGGTAGCTGCCGACCTACGGGACCTCTCGGAGACAAGGGTTCTGCACGCTGGGGCCGACTGAGCACCCCGATCCACCCCCCTGGGGGAGTATTGGCCAGGACATGTGAGGACTGACCTGGCTTCAGGAGCAGGCGGTGCGAGGGAAGCTAGGCGAGGGGCTGTCTGGCAGGACATGGCACACATTCGAGGCGACGTGGTCGCCTGCGTGTCGCCATGCACCCCCTAAGCTTGCCTTAAGAATTGAAGCATGCTGGAGTGATGGAACACATGAATTACCGTTGGCTGCTGAAACATGCAGGCTGCAACGGGGACACGACAGAACACAGAAACACGGGCGAGAAGCCTCAGGCGCCTCCAGAGACGCCCCGATTCGTGTGGGAACGGTACGCCGTGACCGTATTGCGCAACAACATCGCCACCGTCATCGGCCCGACGCCGCCTGGAACCGGGGTGATCCAGCCCGCGCGCTGCTTCGCGGACTCGAAGTCCACGTCACCCACGAGCTTGCCGCTCTCCAATCTGTTGATGCCCACGTCGATTACGATGGCGCCCTGCCGTATCCACTCGCCCTTCACCAAGCCGGGCTTGCCGCAGGCGACGATGAGGCACTCGGCGTCACGAACCACGGCCTCAAGGTCTTGCGTAAACCTGTGCACGATCTGCACCGAGGCGCCGTTCAGCAGGAGCTCGAGCATCATGGGGCGCCCGACGTGGTTGCTCGCGCCCACGACGACGCAGCGCAGGCCGTACGGGTTCACGCCCGTGCTCCACAGCAGGTGCATCACGCCGAAGGGCGTGCACGGCCTCAGCTTGGGCTCGCGGGTGACGAGGCGGCCGAGGTTGAAGGGGTGGAAGCCGTCCACGTCCTTGTCCGCACGGATCGTCTCGAGGATGGCCGACTGCTCCTCCTGCAGCGACTGGGTGGGCAGCGGCAGCTGAACGAGGATGCCGTCGCAGGTCTCGTCCTCGTTCAGGCCCCTGATCGTCGCGAGCAGCTCCGCAGGCGAGGTGTCGTCGAGCAGCTCCAGCAGGGTGCTCTTGATGCCCACTTCCTGGGAGCACTTTTTCTGACCGACCCCTATCCCCAATGTCGGCTATACGCAAGAGTGACCCTGGGTAAGAGTGACCTTTGGTGCGCGACTTTTTGGGGGCCGCAGGGGGACCAAACCTGGGCGCGCAAGCAGCTACTACCGCTTCGTTTTCAGCCATCTGGGGACCCATCTGTGCCCGCACCAAAGGTCACTCTGGCGAAAGGTCACTCTTACGTCTAATCGACAACGGCACGGCGTGCACCCCCCCGTGGCCGTCTTACTACATCCCCCCCGGTGGGAATAGTTTACGGATGTGCGGCTCCCTTCCCGCCCCGCGTGGCCTGGTCCCCCACATGGGAAGGGGACCTGGCGAGGCCGCGCTGCCGCGGTCCACGGCCCAGAGAGGTTGGACTAAAAAAATGAGAATAAACAAATCGTACGCTACTCATTCTTTCAAAGATAAAATGTTCTCCTGGATGTAACTCGAGCTGCAGACGAGATGCCTCGTAGAGGGGATGGGCACGGGTCGGACGATGCCGCTCCTGGCAAGCCTTCTGCTTCTGCTTGATGTACACCTTGCTCGCCGCGTCGTTGCCCACCAGCACCACCACCAGCCCCGGGGCGCGCCCGCCGTCGGCCTGGGCGGCGCTCACCTCCTCGAGCTCCGCCCGGATGATGCTGCGCACCTCCGCGGAGATGGCCTTGCCGTCGATGAGGCGGCCGCGGACACCGTCGTCTGGCAGGCCCCTCGGCCCGTAGCTGGCGGGGCTGTAGTAGCGCTTGATGTCCTGGAAGTTCAGCTTAACGACGCCGTCGTTGGGCGGCGCAACCTCGGACACAGCTCCCGACATGGGTACGCGGCTCGCGAGCGGGGAGAGGGGTGGCAAGAGGCGGCCAGGTGTCCTTGAGCCAAAATGGCTACGGAGGGGTGCCATGCATGCAGTAGACTTGTTCCCTTTTGTCCTGTTGTCCTGTGTGGTTGGGTCCTCGTTTTGAACTCGCAGTTTGAATTCGCAGCGCTGCGCCCCACCTCGCCTCCTCACCCCCCCCCTCATCCCGTCCCTGTCTCTGCCCTCCGCATGTCTCTGCTTCGGCACACTCCTCACATGATTCGTTGCCCCTTGGGGAAATCCAAAGAAGGCTCCAATGGCAGCGCCACCATGCATCCCACTAACCTATGTTGGCACACCCCTCAAGCGTTCCATTGCCCCACAAGGAGCTCCACCGAAGGCCCCGGTGGCAGCGCCCGCATACGCCTTCCCCGCCCATGTCGGCAAACGACTCAGACGCTTCGTGGCCCCGTAGGGAGCTCCACCGAAGGTCTCAAAGGTAGCACCCGCATGTGCTCCCCATGCGCATGTTAGCACACCCCTCACACGTGTCGTAGCCCCCTAGTGAGCTCCACCGACATGCCCCAATGACAGCGCCCGCATGCGCCCCCCCCATGTCGGCCCAACCCTGCAACGTTTCGTGGCCACCTGGGCGCTCCACCGAAGTCCCTCCATAGGGAGCTCCACGGAGGGCCCAGGTTGCAAAGCCCTCATGGTCCCCGCGCCCTCTTCGGCATGACCTTCGTACGCTTCGGGATCCCACAGGGGCTCCACAGAAGGCTAGAGTGGCAGCGCTCGCATGCGCCCCCACGCCAATTCTGGCACGCCCCATAGGAAGCTCCACAGAAGGCCCCCGTGGCAGCGCTTACATGCCCCCACCCCCCCCGCCCATTTAGTCGCCGACTCAGACACATCCCGTGAAACGTTTCGGGACCCCATATTCATGGAGAAATCCTCCTTCGCCCTGCCTGCCTTGCGATATTCAGGCCTGCAGACGACCAGGTCCTCCGCCTGGATGGTGTTCTAGATCGGTCGTTCTTGACGGCCCCGGTCTAAGCCTTCTCAAATAACCATGCGTCGGCCGGCTCAGGGGCAGTGCACTGGGCAACTTTAGGAGGGACCTCCTTGAGCGCTTGGCACTGCTTGTAGCTGTCGGCATGCAGCATGGAGTGGACGCCACTTTTCCCACACAGTCGAGAGTGTTCAGAACACTTGAACACCCCTTGGGTGACTTTGCTTCGGCAGAATCCTTGGAAATTCGAGAAGAACTGCTCGGAAGATCCTTTCGCTCCGGCGGCCTTTACAGTCTTACATCCATCCGTGTAAGCTTCGTAATCACCCTCCTGCGCCCAGTCCTTGCGGGTGTGATGCCCGTGGTGCAAGTAGGGCTTCAGCTCGTTCAGCGTCACCTTCCCGAACCAATTGCGGTCGTACAACATCCAAGGGGTGAATGCATTCCAGGGTGTACCCGCTTCGAACTTTACCACGTCGACCTTCTCGCAAAACAGGCCAGTGGTGGGGAGATACCCAGTCCAGTGAGTGTACTCTTCTTTGGAGGCCTTGAAGTACATGTTCATGACTCCAGTGATGGGGACGATGAGGCCTTCGGTGAAGAGACCGATGAAACTTCGGAACCACGATCGGGAACGGCCGTACCAAACCGTCGAGCCGTCGTTGCAATAGACGCAGTAGTCCGCACAAAAGAACTGGCTGTCACTCAGCTGTGTCGCGTTGGCTTTGTCCAATACCCTGGCCGCCTCGATGGTGCTGAACCCGACGCAGAAGCAAATCATCATAGCAACCTTGAGAGCCATGGTGCCGCCGCGCAGTCCGCATTTGACAATCGACACTCTGAGGTTAAATGGGCTACATAGACGTCAAGAAGATCTCTTACGAGCGTCTGGGGTGTCTCAAGGGGACCAACGCGTGGGGCGTTTGGGAGATCTTGAACTGCTCTGGGCCCCGGGATCATCTCTGGGCCGCCTTGGACCCTCGCATCTATAGCCAAGACGTGCATTTAAGGACGGATGGTAAGGACGCAAGACCCTTGGAGGCCGAAATTGGGACGTTGTTGGCGGCGGGCGACCAGTTCGCATTCGCATTAGAATTTGCACTCTCATCAGGACGTGGTCCTTGCCTCCTTGGGCGGGAGCGTGGAGGTCGTAACCTCTCTATGCGTACACGTGCTGGGGAAAGCAAAGGCCTGACAGCACTAGCGTGCTTCCCTGCTGGAGTTGGTTCTTGCGTCGGAGTCGGCTGGTGTCGTGTTGGCATGTGTCCTGGTCGGCTTGCTCGGGTGCTGGGCCCCGTCTTGTTGGCGGCGGGCGACCGGTGAAAACGGCAAGGGACGGGCCGCAGAGGCAAGGACACGAGGGCACCCTGGAGGAAGGCGCGCGTCCTCACAGGGCGCGTGGACTGCAGCCCACGCTGGCCCCATCGGCCCTCAGGGCGGTGCGGGGCGGTCTGAGCACCTGGCGAGCGCCCGAACGAGCCGCCGGAGGCGCCGCAGAGGCCTGAGTGTGCGTGCGCGTGCGGGGAGAAGCCTGCATGGCGGAGAGAAGCAGAGACAACGGCACAGACAACTCGGGGGTCGACCCTCCTCGAGAGGTCGTCACTGCTGCATCAGTGGCCCCCTGGCTCACCCGAGAGAACAAGAGAGACAGAGAGAAACAGAGAGAGAGAGAGAGACAAGGGGGGGGATATCTGTAGCTCAGGCCTGCCCCAGAAGCTGCGAAGGTCACAGGGTCTTCAAACCCTGCTGCATCTCCCCTCGCCCTTCCCCCAGCGACACGCAAGAACGACACCGGGAAAGAGTGACACTGCTGCGCGGCTGGCCGGTCGTGGCACGCGATGCGGAAGAGAGCGGCCCGCGGGCTCGGGCGTGGGGTGGGCCCCCCGTGCGCACTCCGAGAGCACCGCGCTCCAGAGGTCCTTCTGGCGGAGGGCCACTGGCACACGTAGCCGACCACCCCCGCCAAGCGGACGCGTTGTTCGCCAAAGGCAGCAAGGAGACCACGGATCTGGGGACACCTCAACCGTATTATTATTATTATTATTGTTATTATTATTCTTATTCTTATTATTATTATTCTTATAATTATTATTATTATAATTATTATTATAATTATTATATTGTTCTTGCTCGTATTCTTAATCATACCACTCTTATAATGATGAAGGACTCCCACCCGACCATCCCCGCGCCCTCCGTTTTCCGTTGCCTATGGGGAAAGAGAAGAGGAGCGCGCGGCAAGTGAACCTCACCGCGGCGTGACTAGCACAGTCGTGTCAAACTGACGATCGCCAGTAAGCCAGGAACGCCACACGAGCCGACCTGTCATAGGCAAGCTCATGCTATGAACTTCGGCCTGGTGGAAAAGAAAATGACGAGACGAGTGAGAAAAGCCAGAAAAACGGTACAAGGATAAGGAAGGGGAGGAAAGAGGGGAGGAAAGAAAAGACAGACACACACGCACGAGGAGAAGCGAGTCCGAGACCTTGATGATCCGTGACCAAACAATCGACCGAAACCGCTAGACCCTTATCGCGAAAAATCCTGACATCGCGTTGTCGAAGGCTGAGCGCGCAAAGGAGAGATATCTCTTCGAACTGTGTAACTGAAACAGAAGCCGAAGAAGAGACAAGTCCAGGAAATTCCGGCGGCTGCCAGAGCCAGAACCGCCCCGAGACCACCCCCATGGCTGACAACGTTTGCTGCGAATACGAGCACAGCCGAAACAACAAGCCTAGTGCTACAACGGTGCCGACAGAAGTGCCATCGGCGAGTGCAGGCTCGAGCTCTGCAACCGGGCCGGCACGCATCCCCACGCCCCCAGAAGACCGCGGACCACAGGCCGCTCCAGCAAAGGTCGGGGGCGCGCAAATATGGATTGGCGATCCATGGATCTGGCGCGCAGTCGCCACATCCATGGATCGGGGGAGGTGCCCTCCCCAAAATGCGGCCGGTGCCGCCTCGCTCGGCGGCGCAAATCCGCGATTCCCCCATGGAGGAAACGGGACCCGTCGCTAATCCACGCCCCCGGCTCCTCCTCCTCCTCCTCCTCCTCCTCCTCCTCCTTCCCCTCCTCCTCCGCCTCCTCCTCCTCCTCCTCCTTCTCCTCCCCCGTTGATCAATGTTTGCGATCGCCCGAAGCAAAAGGCCACTCTGACGTGCAGCCGCTGCCCCCCCCGCCCCCCGCCCCCCCTCGGTGGTTCAAAGGATGGGGTCCTGAGGCATGGGGTCCTAAGGACGAGTTGCCTCAAGCAACGTACAGTGGAGGCCCGACCACCAGAAACCTTCCACAAGAAACCCAACCCTGAGATCCCAGGACGTCCACTGATTTTTGGTGCGGGAACGTCACGCCGCCCACGGCAAAACCATCGACACCCAAGAAACCCAGGGCACCCTGGAGGCAAGCAGGGTGTTTCTTGGCACGGGCCTCGACTGTGCATCCACCCTTGGATTCCTTCCTTTCCTCGAGGCCCCACCCCCCAGGGCCTCACCTCCAAATCGCCGACCCCCCCGTGGCGTCCAGCCGGCGCCGCCCTCTCGAGTGCACAGAAGTCTCCCTCGAACCCAGGAAGCCGAGCAGAAGTCAGCCAGGGCCATGTCGCGAATCGCGGTCGGCCGCACACTGGCTGCCAAGCCTGGGCCAGCCCTTACAAAGGGGAAGGGCCAGCGCCGCACAGCTCCCCAGCCCCAGCCAGCCAGAGTTGGCGGCGCGCAGAGGGGGGGTATGGGGGAGGGGGGAAGGCTTCTTAAAAAGGGGGGCTGCTTCTTGAAAGGCGCCGGCCTTTCACACACACACACACACACACACACACACACACACACACACACACACACACACACACACACACACACACACACACACACGCCTTTCACACACACACACACATACACACACACACGCCTTTCACACACACACACACATACACACACACACGCCTTTCACACACACACACACACACACACACACACACACACACACACACACACACACACACACACACACACACAC